AGATAGATAGATAGATAGATAGATAGATAGATAGATAGATAGATAGATAGATAGATAGATAAATAGATAGATAGATAGATAAATAGATAATTGTCTCCATAGGATAGTTATACAGACCAGTTACAGTTACCAATCACGAAAACAAATGTATAGATCCGTACAAGGTAATGGTTAACGCCAACCCCCATGGGTGGAAGACAGATGTGACCCCTCGCCAAATTGACATCGAGTGAATTTTCCATGCCTCGTAGATAAAACACATTTGTCTTTGTTTGCCGTCGTCGGAATAATTGCAAACAGAAGATTTAATGATATTTCATCGTAACCAACCGTCGTTAAGACAATGAAGGATCAGAGAGGATTTTGCTTAAAAGATCAGTTCCGACGACGAAAGTCAAACGCTTCCAATAATTCGATAGATCGCCAGTTTAAGAGTTTAAATGTAGGCCGTTTGACGACTGCGGAAATGCTGAGACCGCGAACAAGTGTTCTCCGTCTTTAAAAGACAAAAGTCTTCTGTGAGTACGGTAGGCTTAAGTGTGTCAGCTGCATGAAAGTTAAGTAGCGCTATCACTGCGTGAGGCATTCATTACAGATTAGGAGCATCCGGCTTCCTTCATTCTCTTCGACTGCTAATCTAAATTAAAAATCAGAAAGATTGAAATCTAATTAAAAATCACAATTATTGCGCAAATTGGATGTACGATTGGATTTCACGAAGTTGCAAACGTAGATCCCGTGGCTGTGTGTGAGCGGAGCCGAACTTAACATAAAAAGCTACGAAATACAAGGAACTGCACTTCTATAGCAAATATCATCCGATTAATTCCCAAAATACGCGGTTAAAATTTATTCACGGCTGTCATTGACTATAGCGCAAAAATACAAGCCCAACTAATAACCCAATCTCACGCCGCCAGGGACCATAGAGAGTGTGAAAGCAGTGTGAAAACCTCACCGCGGAATGCGTTGTCGATGGTGTATTGTATCACGTACGATACAACAATTTGTACACTTTGTGTACACCGACGTTCCTCACTCTCTTGTAACAATGCGCGGTGTTTGCGAATAATTCATCCAATTAATTAAGCAAATCACGAGCAACGCGCACAAAGACACGCGCGTGCAGTCTCTGATAAAATTTCGAGACGCGGTAACAGTAGCGTTATAATGAGCCGTGGTAATCAACATGGCTGCCATCGACACGTACACGCGCCGCTTATGCACAGATACCTTACAACGTGGAAGACTAATGGCAGATTTCTTTCCCAATTACAGATCGTGTTATCTCCCTCGGTCATTTACCTACCTCCCCCTGCCCCGCCGTGCTGTGATGCGAGAACAGAATTATAACAAGAAGTGATATAGAGAATAGAATGCAGCCTATCATGATCACCTGACAGTGGTAGGCCTACTGGCTGGTAGCCCCGATCCAGCGTTTATTTCCACTGACATGTCGGTGAAAGGATCCCGAGCGCGAGACGCGTGAGAGCTGGACGAGTGAACGGCGGGTGCAACTACGTGTTCAATAGCCGAGAAGAATTCGCTGTCGAGATGGAATCCGCCTTAATCACAGCCGCCATGTTTGTTCTCGCGTCACTAAACATAATTTAAACTAAGGGATCGTTCACTATCCCCGTATTACGCAAGTTACAGGGAGCTACGATCCATTATACGCATGGCAACATTATAAGGTAATAATCTAAAGAAATGCGTGGAGGAATAACGGTCCCCCCACCACAACGAAGTGTATGATTACCATGAATAAGGCAGCACTCTTGTTTTTCCATTCAAATTTCTTGTATTTCATAAGCCCTCCTTACTATTAACATTGGCTATTTTGGTTAGGCACATAATATACTGCTTTATAGCTTAAAAATCATGGCTATAATAATGTCCGCTATATCGACCCTTAGCTTAGAAGTCGTAGGGCATAATGTGGTTTTCGTAGACATTTCCTGAGAGAAGAAAATGCGTTGTAATAACATTATCATCCTTATTGCAAGCGTACGACCCGCACACGTTTTCATGATCCTCTTACGCCGAAAAGTTGATGCACAAATTAAATGAATTTTCTCCATATTTGGCTGAAGGGTATGCCTCGATATTTAGAGCGCGTTGACCGACGCTCCCTCTAACGTACGTCACACACACACTTGTGATGATGCTGACGATTGTGATTGTCTTCTAAAGACCTGCTCGTAACCTTGTGAATATTGGTCTTCAAAGTCCAAGGGACTATAACGACGACAGAACAAGAAAAAGTGGATCACACAACTCAGCACTACGGATCGCAGTAGTAAAATCCTCAAGTTTGCAACATACTAAAGAAGAAGGGAGAGAATTCCAATACGGAATGACAATAAAAGCTCAACTTAAAGAGATCCTTTGAAGGTTTTTTGACTACTCGTCGCACGCCATTCCTACGAATACTTACACCGATGCCAACGATGACGCTTCATATTAACCTGCATAGCTCAGCTATTCGCGCACAAATTCTGCGATATTGAGGTTAGATCGATATACACGCCTATGATTACCCCCACACTAACCCCCGAGTAACCGATACTGACTCTATTAGATTCCGAAGCTAATTAGTGCACGCATGCCAACCTCAATCATCAACCCGCGTCAGCTACAAATAAACACTTGTTCAGCATGCACTGGATCTGTCTATAATATATACACTGAATCTGTCATGGCTGGCATGTAGAGTCAATGTCAGTATAAGTGACTGTTAGCGTATGTTCTTCTGCCGTGAGGAGGGATGACACCTCCATATTTCTATCGATCTATATTTCTCCGTCGTTCTGTTATTTTATTATTTCATGATTATTTATATTTCTATATTCTTTCTTGTTGCTTTTAATTTAGCTCACTGGCTTTCCGGTGGACTGCTAATAGTGAACGGTAAAAAAACGGAAAACAATGAATCAAACTAAAGCATGAAAATAATAATTGCATAAATTTTATGTAGTGATCATGTGGAATTACATGAAATTCGGACTGATACCTTCATCTTGTCAAATTCACTGGCAGTTGAATATTTCTCGGCTATTGCTATGACTTGGTGAAGTATTCGTCGGACACTGCGAATACACCTGCTAAACATGACCTTCAGTGACCTCTAGCGAAAGATATAGTGCGATTATTCGGACAGGTTCGCTGGAACACGCACGCACGCACGCACGGACACATACACGTGCCACGTCATCGATTGCCGCTCTACATCGTTGATACATGCTGTGCTGCACCCCACTCTAATTTTCATGCGTGATTCGCATTTAATATTAACAAGAGGCGGTTATCTATCAGCTTATTAAACGCTCTCTTTTTTCCTGCTGTCTCTTTTTACCGCTGCCCGCGTTTCTCATTCGTAGTAAAATCATCAAATATTAATCACCACGTGGAATCTTTGTACAAATCGCATACTACAAAGGGTTGCCCATGGCGACAGCGGGCTGGGTAAGAAACCCGAGGCCCGTTGTCCGAAACAAAATTGGCTAATTAATCTTAATTAACATAATTTTTTTCTCTTAGACCGTTGACGGAAACGCTGCGAAGTTACGAAAATGAAAAATCGTAGCAGATCTCCTCATAACAATACGAAACAAAGTGTTGTCGACGGTCTACGAGAAATTGTTAATGTTAAGACTAATGTTAAGACTAATTTTGTTTCTGACAACGGGCTCCCGCTCATCTCAAGCTGCGCGGAATAATCAGTCTACGCTCTCATAGGTGATGCGCGCGCCCCCTACCTTTCTTCTCGGCTACTCGCGCCTGGTCCCTGGCGCGACTTGGTGTCTTGCTGTTGTCGGCTCGCTGTCGATACGGTGAGTAGAACCCAGCGTCGGCCGTACAGTGCGAGCAGTCGGCAGACCGCACTGACGGACAGTCGTTCCCCAGGTAGCCGGCAGGTTCGCTGCAGGCGTAGCCGTAGCTTCGATTGTAGCGGTGCCTGGCGGTCATCGGCGTGAAGTAGGGGCTCTCTGCGTACGGGCGTGGCGGGAGTATCTCCAAATACGGCGGAATGGCTGCAATGTCGCGACATCGGAGAGGTGTCAATAACTACACGATAGCAATGACTAGGGACAGGTACGCTACAGTTACGGGACAGCTACGAGACAGTTATGGGATAGCTACAGGACAGTTACGGGACATCTACGGGACAGGTACGCTACAGTTACGGGACAGCTACGGGACAGTTATGGGATAGCTACAGGACAGTTACGGGACATCTACGGGACAGGTACGCTACAGTTACGGGACAGCTACGGGACAGTTATGGGATAGCTACAGGACAGTTACGGGACATCTACGGAACAGGTACGCTACAGTTACAGGACATCTACGGGACAGGTACGCTACAGTTACGGGACAGCTACGGGACAGTTACGGGATAGCTACAGGACAGTTACGGGACAGTTACGGGACAGTTACAGGACAGTTACAGGACAGTTACAGGACAGCTACGGGACAGCTACAGGACATCTACGGGACAGGTACGCTACAGTTACGGGACAGCTACGGGACAGCTACGGGACAGGTACGCTACAGTTACGGAACAGCTACGGGACAGCTACGGGAAAGCTACGGGACAGCAGTCTGTGAAGCTGTCTTAACTGAACCCAATGTATTTCTGAACTGAATCCTAAACTGAACCCTACGCCTACCCGCATTGAATGACACCCAAAGACCCAGTTGACACTTCCCCTTAACACCTGTTTGTAGACACCACCAATTTCCGCCCTCAAACTGCCCCTCGGTCCCTCTTGTTATTTTTGCTTTTGCACAATCAAGTTATATTCTGATACTAACTACTAAGCCATTTCTATACACTCTAACGATTTCTCTCAAAACCTCCTCCGTGGACCGTACAAACTCTTTCACGTACACTTACATCTTCCGTTATAGGCTTTCCTCACACGTCTCTTTGTTGCCTTTCCTTACACCACACTTCCTCTCTCCCTTACACCCCTCCCTCTCTCACTCATATCACACTATTTCTTCCACTATATCTCTGGCCCCTACTCTCTCTCTTCTTTTCTCTTCTCTCCCTTTCTCCCCATCTCTCCAGAGAATTGAAAGTCAAAGCCGCTTCCAATATTCGATAGTCGCAGTTTAAGAGTTTAAATGTAGGCCGTTTGCACAACTGCGGAATATGCTGAGCCCGCGACAAGTGTTTCTCCGTCTTTAAAAGCAACAGTCTTACTGATGAGTACGGGTAGCGCTTAAGTGTGTCAGGCATGCAATGAAAGTTAAGTAGCGCCTATCAACTGGTGAGGCATTCCATTACAGTTAGGGGAGCATCCGGCTTCCTTCATTCTGCTTCGACTGCTAATCTAATTTAAAATCAGAAATAGATTTGAAATATAATTAAAATCACAATTATTGCGCAACATTGGATAGTTTACGATTGGGATTTCACGAAGTTGCAAACGTAAGATCCCGTGGCTGTGTGTGAGCGGAGCCGACTTAACATAAAAAGGCTACGAATAGCAAGGAACTGGAACTTCTATAGCAAATTCATCGATTAATGTGCCCAAATACGCGGTTAAATTTATTCAAGGCTGTCATTGACCTATAGCGCAAGAAATACAAGCCCAACTAATAACCGCAATCTCACGGCCGGCCAGGGGACGGGCATAGAGAGTATGAAAGCAGTGATGAACACTTCACGCGGAATGCGTTTTGTCGATGGTGTATTGTTCACGTTAATCGATACACAATTTGTACACCTTTGTGTACACCGGGCACGTTCTCACTCTCTTGTAAACAATGCCTGGTGTTTAGCGAATCATTCATCCAATTAACTTAAGGGCGGCGTGAAATCACGAGCATACGCAACTAGAAGACACGCGCGTGCAGTCTCTGATAAAATTTCGAGACGGGCGGTAACGAGGTAGCGTTATATTATGAGGGCGCGTGGTAATCAACATGGCTGGCCAATGCGACACGTTACACGCGTGCCGCTTATGTCACAGATACGCCTTACCAACGTGGAAGACTAAGTGGGCAGTTTCTTTGCCACTTCAGATCGTGTCTTCTCCCTCGGTCATTTACCTACGCTGCCGCCCCTGCCCGCGTGCTGTGATGGCGAGAACAGAATTAAATAACAAAGAAGTGAATATAGAGTATAGAATGCAGGCCTATCATGATCACCTGACAGTGGTAGGGCCTACCGTGGCTGGTAGCCCCGATCCCGCGTTTGAATTTCGCACTGACGATGTGCGTGAAAGATCTCGACGCGCGAGCACGGCGTGAGAGCTGTGACGGTGCACGGCGGTGCCCACTACGTGTTCACTAGCCGAGAAGAATTCGTGTCGAGATGGAATCGGCCTTAATCAGCAGCCGCCATGTTTTGTTTCTCGCGTCACTAAAGCATAATTTAAACTAAGGGATCGTCCTATCCCGTATTAGCAAGTAGCAGGGAGCTACGATCCGCATTATACGCATGGCCTCATTATAAGGTAATAATCTAAAGAAATTGCGCTGGAGGCATACACGGTCGCCCACGACAACGAAAGTGTATGATTCCATGCAACTTAAGGCAGCACTCTTGTTTTTTCGCACTGCAATTTCTTGTATTTCATAAGGCCCTCCTTACTATTAAAGCATTGCTATTTTGGTTAGCAATAATATACTGGCTTTATAGGCTTAAAAATCATGGCTATAATAAGTCCGCTATATCGACCCTTAGCTTAGAAGTCGTAGGCATAATTGGTGGTTTTCGTAGACATTCTCCTGGAGAAGAAAATTGCGTTGTAATAACATTATCATTCCTTTATTGCAAGCGTACGACCCGCACACGTTTCATGATCCTCTAACGCGAACAAGTGATGCACAATTAAATGAATTTTCTCCATATTGGCTGAAGGGTATGCTCGATATTGTAGAGCGCGTTGACCGACGCTCCCTCTAACGTAGCGGTCACTATCCACACACTTGTGATGATCTGACGCATTGTGATCTGTCTTAAGACTGCTCGTAACCTCTGTGAATATTGGTTTCAAAAGTCAAGGACTATAGGACGTACGAAAGAAAGTGGATACCAACTCCAGCATCTACGGATCGCAGTAGTAAAATCCTCAGTTTGCAACATACTAAAGAGAAGGAGAGAATCACTAATACGCGAAATGACAATAAAGCTCAACTTAAAAGAGAGCTGCCTTTGAAGGTTTTTGACTACCGGTCGCACGCCATTCCTACGTAATACTTACACCGATCGGCAACGATGACGCTTCATATTAACGCTGCATAGCTCAGCTATTCGCGCACAAATTGCTGCGATATGAGGTTAGATCCGATCTACACGCCCTATGATTCCCCACACTTAACCCCGAGTAACCGATACTGACTCATTAGATCGAACTATTAGTTGCAGTCATGCAACCTCAATCATCAACCAATCGCGTCAGGCCTACAAATAAACAATTGTTCAGCATGCCACTGGATCTGTTATAATATAAACACTGAATCTGTCATGGCTGGCATGTAGGTTACATGTCAGGTATACAGTGACTGTTTAGCGTATGTTCTCTGCCGTGAGGAGGGATGAACACCTGCTCATACTTTCTATCGTTCTATATTTTCTTCCGTCGTTTGTATTTTATTATTTCATGATTATTTTATATTCTCTATATTCTTCTTGTTGCTCTTTAATTTTAGCTTCACTGGCTTTCCGGTGGACTTGCTAATAGTGAACGGTAAAAAAACGGAAAACAATGAACCAAACTAAAGCATTGAAAATAATAATTGCATAAATTTTTATGTAGTGATCATGTGAAGTTACATGAAATTCGGACTGATTACTTCATCTTGTTCAAATTCATCGGCCAGTTGAATACTGTTCTCGCTATTGCTATGACTTGGTTGAAGTCATTCGTTCGGCACTGCCGAATACACTGCTAAACATGACCTCAGTGACCCCTAGCCGAAAGATATACGTGTCGATATTCGGACAGGTTCGCTGGAACAGAGTTCTGTTCGTGTTGGCTGGCCAACTTACTTTCCACTACAGTTGTCAGTGGTGAAGGAAAATAAGAGAATTGGGGCGGAAAGGGAAGACCTACAGAGATAAAGCGAGACACCGAGAGAGAAGAGAGAGGACAGAGCGAGCGCGAGGAGAAAGCGCGGCGCGAGAGACGGAGAGAGAGCGAAGAGGAGAGAGCAGAGAGAGAGAGAGACGAGAGAGAGAGCGAGGAGAGAACAAAGAGCGAGCGAGAGAGAGAAAAGAGCAGAGACGAGAGAGAGCAGAGAGAGAGCAGAACGAGAGAGAGAGAGAGCGAGAGAGCGAGAAGATGCGAAGAGGAAAAGCCGCGCGCGAGAGAGGAGAGAGAGCGACAAAGCGAGAGAGAAGAAAGGAGAGAGACGAGAGAGAGAGAAAGCGACAAGCGAAAGAGAGAAAGAGAGAGAGAGAACCGACAACCCCAGCGAGAGAGAGCAAAGAGAGAGAGGGCGAGAGAAAGCGCGCGACAGAGAGCAACAGATAAAGAGAGAGGGGGAGGAGGAGAGCGAGCGCTGGGGGTCCTTACAAGTGTCGCTCGCGTGCTCATCCACTCAATACAACATGCGGCGTTGCGAGTAGCCACTCCGCTGAGAATCCGGCAGGCGTCGCTGCGGCGTTATGCACAATCTGTCCGTCGCGCATGCGTCGTCCGTCATGGCCGCGATCGCCGATTGGCGACCCATCTCAAACAGTCTTCACATCGACAGTGACGGACGACCGCACGGCGTGGGAAGGATAGCGGAGAAAAAAAGATCGCTGTCGTAGCTTAGCTCTCTCTCTCTCTCTCTCTCTCTCTCCTCTCTGCTCTCTGCTCTCTCCCTCTCTCTCGCTCTCTCTCTGCTCTCTCTGTCTCTCCTATTTCTCTCTCTCTTCTCTCTCTCTCTCTACACCGCTCCCTTCGGCTCCGTTTGTCTTCGTCTCTCGCTACGTATCTTAGCACGCCCATCTTCTTTTTGTGTCCTGTCTGTCTGCTTCTCGTTGGCTTGCTTTTCCTCTGGCTCTTTCTTTCTCCAGACCCTCTCCTCTCATCTCTCCGTCTCCGTCATCGTCTCTCGCTCTCTATCTATCCTGTCTGTCCTGTCGTCATTCTCGGCCCATCAGCGCCCTCTCTCGCTTGACTCACGCACAGGCACACGAGTATCGAGAGAGTCCGCGGGCGGCCTTCCTCTCTGCTGTCAGCAACAGGCATCTGATCCTCGGCCTCAGCATTGCGGCTTTGAAGTCGCCGCACAAACAACGGCGAAAATAAACGGGTGCGGCGGGGCGGGAGGGATGGGCGGCGGGATCGGGAGGCGGAGGGGGGGTGAGCGGGAGAGAAACGTGCGCGCTGTGCGCCTATAGCGGTGAAGCTTGCTTGCCGGACAATCTATGCTTTATCATAAACACGGGTTT